CCCCCCAAAGAGGGTCTTCCCGATCGGGGCCGGAACCAGCCTCCTCTTCGCGGCGGCAGCATACTTTCCGCCCCTGAGCGTCTCCAGCTGCCCTGCGAGCTCGCGCGGGAACGCAGCCCTCGCCGCCCTCCGCTCCAGGATCAGCGCTACTTGCACGAGCTGGTCCTCCTTCGCACGGATGTCTCCCCCTCGGAGGTCCGGCAGTGGCGATGCGCCGGTCGGGTGGTGCGAGCTTTCGTCGGCGTCGCGGCTGGAGGCCGGGGAGGTCGACTGGAGCTCGCTCTCCTGTGTGGTTGGCAGGCGAGGGTGCGTCGCCAGCTCCCGCCGCTCGAGCGGGGTCCGGTCGTTGGCGTGGTGGCCGGGGCGTTCGCCACCGTTGGCCTGCTGCTCCCTCGCCGCGCCCTCCTCCGCACCGCGACTTCAGGGGTGCCGCCCATGCTTCGGGCGGCCCCGTCATTGAGCGGGGGGGGGGGCGGTGTGGTGTGCAGTTCCGGCCGTGGGTCGGACTGCTCGCTGTCATGTACTCCGTAAGGTTCTGGTTGGTGCTCTGGCAGGTCGGGTGGGGCAGCCGCGCCGGTGTTGTCGCGCGGTCGGCCGGCGGTTGGCGCAAACGCCACCCGCCGGCCAGTCGGGGGCGGCTCTGGCTGAGGGCTGGGGAAGGCTTTCGCAGATGCGTCAGCAGTCCCGTCAACCTCAGTCAGAGCCGCCGCCGTTCAGGCTCCCCCTGCGCCGGCTCCTCCGGCGCCCGCGTTGTCGAGCCGGTCGTCCTTGAGTCCGCCCGAGCCGTTGGGCTGGTAGGATGTATAGTCCGCCTCGACGTTTCCCGTCGACGCGCTCCTCAGGGCTCCCGCCGATTGGGAACCCACGGGCGATGCCGCAGCCCATGCCGCTGCATCTAACCCTTGGGGTTGGTCATGCCCGTGCGCCCCCTGGGGGTGCGGCTCGGGCCGGCTCGGGTCGTTAGACCCGGAAGTTGCGTTGCTCATCACACCGTCGTCCCCCGACGATGCGCTTCCCCAGGACCCCTCTCGCAAGAGGCCAACAGGAGGAGGCGCGTCCCCTGACATGGGCGCTGCTCTCTCCACTGGAGGGTGCATTTCCACCCGCGGACTCGCTCCGTGCGAACTCGCTGTATGGGTGGTTTTGTTCATAGACATGGGCCCGCGCGCCGCGCGCAGGCCGATTGCAGGGCTCTCCCACAACCACGCTGACCCGGATCCCAGGACCAACGACAGAGGCGAAACGACACTCGGCCCGCCGACACAATTCGACCACTGGACACTATATCTAAATGCGGCGCAGGCCAATCTCAAGTTCCCTTCTCGATTCTTCGCGGGTTTCGGTGCAGTCACCTTCCCCCGCGACAGGTGTCAGAGAGCGTTCAAGCCGTTGTGCAGCTCCTAAGAGAATGGTCCGGTTTGGGCCGAAACCAAATGGAGGAATCAGCGGTCCGTCGGCACGAGCTCTCGGTGAATGCTTTGGGTTCTTCGGGCTAGGGTTAGGGTTAGGGTTAGGGTTAGGGTTAGGGTTGGTTGTCGTCGCGCGCTCTCGATATCTGGCTAAGACAGAGACACAGCAGCAGAGGCGACCCAAGCAACACACCAGAGCGCGGACGGGGGCGCGAGCCGCCATCTTGGACTGTGAGGTGAGTATTTGCAACCGGGAGCTCGCCGCCGCCCCACCGCCGCGGCCGCCCTCCCGGTGGCAGATAATAGCCCAAGTCGAAGAGTGCGCCCCACCCTCTGTATCTGGGCGGCAGGCGGGACTAGAGTGGCACGCTGGTGCGCGGATGGGGGCGCGAGCCGCCATCTTAGACTGTGAGGCGAGTATTTGCAACCGGGAGCTCGCCGCCGCCCCTACACCGCCGCGGCTGCCCTCCCGGTGGCAGATAATAGCCCAAGTCGAAGAGTGCGCCCCACCCTCTGTATCTGGGCGGCAGGCGGGACTAGAGTGGCACGCTGGTGCGCGGATGGGGGCGCGAGCCGCCATATTGGACTGTGAGGTGAGTATTTGCAACCGGGAGCTCGCCGCCGCCCCTACACCGCCGCGGCCGCCCCCTCCCGGTGGCAGATAATAGCCCAAGTCGAAGAGTGCGCCCCACCCTCTGTATCTGGGCGGCAGGCGGGACTAGAGTGGCACGCTGGTGCGCGGACGGGGGCGCGAGCCGCCATATCTTGGTTCTTGGACTGTGAGGCGAGTATTTGCAACCGGGAGCTCGCCGCCGCCCCTACACCGCCGGCGCCGCGGCCGCCCTCCCGGTGGCAGATAATAGCCCAAGTCGAAGATTGCGCCCCACCCTCTGTATCTGGGCGGCAGGCGGGACTAGAGTGGCACGCTGTGGTGCGCGGATGGGGGCGCGAGCCGCCATCTTAGACTGTGAGGCGAGTATTGCAACCGGGTCCGCGGGAGCTCGCCGCCGCC